AATGTAGATAATAATAATAATAATATAACTATGATATAATCTGAACATATTTCATATTTATTTTAAAAACAATATAATCATAAATATAATTTATAAATACATACATTGAACAAAATTATAAATGCAACACTTGTTTTTGCCCCCATTTTTCATGAGCTGAACTCAAAGATCTAAGACTTTTTCTATGTACACAAAAGGCCTATTTCTCTCAAATATTGTTCACAAATCTGTTTAAATCTGTGTTAGTGAGCACTTCTCCTTTGCCGAGATAATCCATCCACCTCACAGGTGTGGCATATCAAGATGCTGATTAGACAGCATGATTATTGCACAGGTGTGCCTTAGGCTGGCCACAATAAAAGGCCACTCTAAAATGTGCAGTTAAATGGGGGCAAAAACAAAAGTGTTGCGTTTATCATTTTGTTCAGTGTAATATCACCATATTAATAATGTAAATACACATTATAAAAATAATAAATACACTATGTAAATAATACATACAATTCTACAGATTTTTAAACTTTAAATATGCATATCTGATAAAAGTTATATTCTCTGTACTTTTAACATTTAAATATATTATTACTTTTCATTATATATTTAATATAATGAAAATAAGTAAATACATATTTTAATTAATTTATTACATATTTACATTAATAATGTAAATATACATAATACAAAATAATAAAACCTTTTAATTATATAAAGCATTACATTTTAAGTGTGCCTATCTGAATTATTTTTTTATTACTTATTTTTTTAAATATAATTTTAATAATAATGTAAATATACCTTACAAATAATAATACATCATTATATAATGTAAAAATGTATAATTCTACAGAGCTTTAAAATTTAAATGAGCATATCTGATAAAACATTTTTACTTTTATGACAACATTAAGGGAGATATTTTTATTTTCAGGCCAGGTTATAGAAAATAACTACAACCACTAAAAATCATGGGGTCTTTAAATTGATATTTTGCAGCTACGTGGTTATTTTAAAACATTACATTATTTTAAATATCAAGTAAACACAGAAAGGCTACAGTAAATAAAAAGGCTTCATATAATTTGACAGCAGTTTTAAATAAGTAGACTTAAGCTTTTAGCAATAAATCTCTGTATGTCCTCAGTCACTTCAATTTGTGTCCAGCAGAGGGACTGCTGCTCTATATCTGACACGGGTGTCCCGTGAACTCTTCACACCCCACGGGGAGGTGCAGAAACCAAACGCCTCCGAGTCCCAGTAGATTATAACGTGACCTGCGTTCATTTGCTTCAAGCTAAAGTCATCACCTCAAATCTGCAGCAGTCAAGCGTTCGTTTCTGCGTAACGCACTTGCCCACGGCCCATCTCCCTCTCTCTCTCTCTCTCTGCATAATTAAACTCATGTGTAAGATTAGTGCTTGCAGCGATGACTCAGCGGCCGCTGGTGCTTCTGCCTGTCTGGGTCTGAGACTGACGCAAACACCAGAGAAAAGGCCTCTGTATTCAGTCTTCAGCTCTCAAAACCTGTATTATATTAGGTCTAAGAACAAACATCATGAGTCTCAAGTCATTTTGAATAAATCATTGGTTAAATGTATTACGTAAATATTAATTGATGTATTTTGAAATGCATTAGGTTTGCACGTTTCAAGCCAACATTAAATTTAATGTAGGCTTGAAACTGTTAAACATATATATTTTTAATTTGTTTCTGACCTTACAATAAATGAATACAATTAAATTAAACATTTATAATAATAAAATAAATCGTAATCTTGCATCAAAATGAAGTGATTTTTTGTTTTTAGCTGACATTACCAAGGCTGTCCGAACCACCTGTTAATACCGAGATGCGTTTCACTATCAAATCAATTTGTATTATTTTTTTTTTTGTTCCTGAAAATCCAGTTCGACTCAAAATAATTTAATATATATAAAAAAAAACACACACAATAGATAATAGAATGATATATAACAAATTAATAATATAAAACATATAAAATATTTTATATATATATTTTTCAAAATATATATGCTCTGTTGTTTTTATATTATTAAATACTATCAAAATAAATGTCATGGCATTATTTATTATTATTAATAATACATTTTAAAATAAAGTTAAATAAAATATTATCTTAAATCATTATTAACTAAATCTTAATTTTAAATAAGCTTAATTTTTTTAATTTAAATTTACTGTTTTTGAATCAATTATTGTTAATAATAAAACAATTGTTTTGATAATTATTTAAATAATTTTAACGAAACATTATTAACAATTATATTATTATTATCATCATCATCATAAATAATGAATTTTAAAATACTGTAAATTTCAAAACCACAAAAATAATTGTAAACATTTAACAAAATCAGAGCACTCTCACCAAGTTAGGCATTACATATTAAGTAAAAACGGGCTGCAAACAGATTCATGTTCAACATCAAGATTTGTGGGTCTATGCTGAAACCTAACTGTTTATTAAAGATAAAGATACTGTACAATTAAAAAATTGTATGAACTAAATCTTTTATGCTCAATTAACCCCGTGCTGTACTTCATTCTCCTGCCAGGTGGTGCTAAAGAGTCTCGAACCGTCTGGCAAGAGCCCTTCAGGAAACAGGTTCAGTTTCATGTGACAAGACTACAAATAACCCTCAACGTCCCAGTTCCTGAGCGTAGAGTAAATTCAGGCCCGTGAAACAACAGGAAAAGCCACTGACTGACAGGAAGGTTCCATTTAAGAAGGACGGAAGTGGGAAAGCCCTTAAAGTCTCCTTATGTGACCCTCCAGCGAACAATACAAAAGAATGGGAGTGGCCTGATGGGAACTGATAAAAGATGGGGATCTTTTATAACGCTACTGCTATTTTGAGTGCATTTTGACCTCCGAATTTGCCTAAAAACACATGAAATGGTGCTCATTTGTGCACAACGGAGATAATAAGCAAGTCTGTGGCTACTGTCAGTCTGACATTGTAATTGCCGGTGCAGATTCCCTCCTACAGCACCGTTTTTAGTGCAACTCACCTTCTCCCTGCTTTCCCGAAGCCCGTGACGCAGACAAAGAGTGGCAGAATAAATGGAAATCAGACTAGAATAGAGTGGTGTGTGTGTAAACGGGTCTATTTTTAGCTTGTGTGTATGTGTAGATGAGGAAGAATATCTTGACATCAAAATAAAAGCAAGGACATGCAGAACAAAACGAGAAAATTATGCAACACAACACAACTACTATTTGCCAATGTGCGAGCTCTGAATAAGCACCGTCGTGAGTGCAAATGCAATTTTGTCGGGAGATTTTGTGATCGCCATGGCGACCGCGGAATGAATTTGTAGCAAAGTGCTTATTCAGAGCTCTGGGATTTATGAAAGAAAGCTTTTAAAAGGAGCAAACCTGATTGGCTGGTGCTGTTGTTGCGTAGGGGACACTTGTGGCAGGAGTTGTTGCTGCAGAGACAGTAGCAGGCGTAGCACTGTACATCATGGGTACTTTTTCAGGAAGGGAACCATGGAAGCAATGAAAAGGTAGGTGGAGCATTATGGAAACCATGGCAACAGGTGTTTTGGTTGGTTGGTAGGGTTTTTGTAGTTTGTTTTTTGGTTTTGTTGTTTAGCAGTGGTGTATATTAGAGCAGCGAGCCATCATTAGGTTAAACCAGCAGATGGCATGCAATCACGATGCAAAGCGAGAGAAGCATGGGAAACAAAACAAAATAAAGGAAAAAAAAAAGAAAAAAAAGAGGAAAAAGGCTGATTACAATCACCTCAAGGAAATGTATCACCATAATCAGTTGTACCCAGAGAAGTCATGAGTGGTTAGAGGGGGTAATAGATTTACACATGCTGTTAGCCCACCACGCTCGGATCGGGCGAGACTTCAAGTATTGATCCTATGATCTACGGCAAACTACACAGAATGGCCATTTGTGTGGTCATTTATGATCAAGTGGGCTATTTCTCTAGGAAACTGATCAAATTTCCCATTCAATAGTACACAAGACAACGCCTATTATTAAAAGCCTGTTTGCTTAGATCTGGTGTTTCCACACAAATACTGTTTAAATGACAGTTTAAAACAATGAATTGATGAAGATGGTAATAATAAGAGTAATATTTACAATAATAATAGCCACTGTAAAAAAAAAAAATTTGTAAAATTAATATGAATTCATAAATTATATATAAATATATAAAAAGTAAACTTTAAAAGACCACTGTAAAAATGTAAAATGAATAATATGAAAACATAAATATTAATATTAATAATAATAGAAACAATAATAAAATCCACTGTTAATGATTTATAATGAATATATATGTATATATATATATATATATATGTGTGTGTGTGTGTAAATACATAAAAATAAACTTTACAACACTAAAATAATAACAAATGTCACTGTAAAATTTTTTAATCTGAAATAGTTTAAAATAAATCAAAATAAAGTATATAAAACATCTAATTCCTATAATAATAATAATAATAATAATAATAATAATAGCCACTGTTAAAACCAAATCAAAAACTGAAATCATTTAAAATAGATTGAATAATATGAATTCCTATAATAATTACAACTACTAAGAATAATGCAAATAATAATCAGCCAATGTAAAACAAATATCAGAATTTGAGATAAAATCAAAACGGAAGAATATGAATATATAAAAGATACAGAATGACTATAAAATAATTATAATATTAAATACCACTGTAAATAATTAATAATGATTGAAAAATACTGTAAATTGTGAAACCTCAGAAAGAGAAATGTGAAGATTTCAAACAAGCGCTCTTGCAGATGAATAGAAGCATAATGAAGCAGAAAACAGATGCACGGACCAGATTCCATCAACAGGTGCTAATTTGACCTGGTAGTTTGTGTGACATGACAGTCAAAGTCTATTGAGCTTCAAATCACCTGTAAGAGCGACTACATCTCTACGTGAGGAAGACAGACAGACAGGACAGACAGGAAGAGGAGGAACCTACCAATGCTGCTAGCAGGAGCCATGCACAGAACTGACCCTGTGACCATGCAGTGAAGAGTGGAGAGAGGTTAATAGGGAAGAAAAACATATTAGACAGAGCCAGTGATTCAGAATTCAGCATGCCATACAAATCCAATTAAGCTTGTCATTATAGATCGCTCGCTCCACCGTGTCGTCATTCTGGTTAAAAACTCAGCATATTTCCAGGAAGATAAACTGGATCAATATTCGCAAGGTTGTGAAATTAGAGAGCAGGGAAACAGTGTAGGAGAAGAGGAAGATGGCAACAGGGCAGAAAAGGCTAAAAACCAGCCACACACACACAAGAGAGACATGCGGTGAGCCAACGGCCACTCCTACGGTTAAAACAGACATAGTGCTGTTACAAAAGAGCCAGAGCTGGAGAAGAGGGAGGAATGGGGGCACAAGAGGACGGCTAAAATGAAATACAACCACCATGTGGGTGTGTGATGACAAAACACACCAACAAGGGATTAGACAGCTGGACTCACTCTAAAACCCTACGTATAGAGAGAGCTTTTTCTGTGTTTATTGTTCTAAAAATACTGCAGTAGGTACGCCTACAGGTACAGGGTGATAGTAGGTGGAATATACAGTGGGTACGGAAAGTATTCAGACCCCCTTAAATTTTTCACTCTTTGTTATATTGCAGCCATTTGCTAAAATCATTTAAGTTCTTTTTTTTCCCTCATTAATGTACACACAGCACCCCATATTGACAGAAAAACACAGAATTGTTGACATTTTTGCAGATTTATTAAAAAAGAAAAACTGAAATATCACATGGTCCTAAGTATTCAGACCCTTTGCTCAGTATTTAGTAGAAGCACCCTTTTGATCTAATACAGCCATGAGTCTTTTTGGGAAAGATGCAACAAGTTTTTCACACCTGGATTTGGGGATCCTCTGCCATTCCTCCTTGCAGATCCTCTCCAGTTCTGTCAGGTTGGATGGTAAACGTTGGTGGACAGCCATTTTTAGGTCTCTCCAGAGATGCTCAATTGGGTTTAAGTCAGGGCTCTGGCTGGACCATTCAAGAACAGTCACAGAGTTGTTGTGAAGCCACTCCTTCATTATTTTAGCTGTGTGCTTAGGGTCATTGTCTTGTTGGAAGATAAACCTTCGGCCCAGTCTGAGGTCCTGAGCACTCTGGAGAAAGTTTTCGTCCAGGATATCCCTGTACTTGGCCGCATTCATCTTTCCCTCAATTGCAACCAGTCGTCCTGTCCCTGCAGCTGAAAAACACCCCCACAGCATGATGCTACCACCACCATGCTTCACTGTTTTTCTGTCAATATGGGGTGCTGTGTGTACATTAATGAGGAAAAAAAAATAACTTAAATGATTTTAGCAAATGGCTGCAATATAACAAAGAGTGAAAAATTTAAGGGGGTCTGAATACTTTCCGTACCCACTGTATATGGATATTGTTTACTGCAATGCACTGTGGTTGATGTACATGTTGGCTATTAAGCCAATAAATCGAATAATATTTTCATATTTTGATTACACATAATATATATAGTACTGTGCAAAAGTCAGATGAACAGCACTGGCTGTTGTCAGACTCCTTGTGCATACAAAAATCTCACTGGATTATTACAATTAATGGCAAAAGGAAAGTTTGGAAAAGTAAAATGATATTTCCTACGGACACACTAAAGCAAAAGATAGAAATAACTGGCTTAAAACCATTTTTTGTTGGTGACAATACTAATGGCCTAAGACCTTTGCACAGTACTGTATACAGCTTTACTTAATTTTTATTTCAGTTTTAGTTTGAGTTATTTTAGTACATCAACTTAAACTAAATTAAAATGAGTAATGTTGCCTCGGCCACCAGCTTAAACAATTTTTTGATATTTTACCTCAGTTAACTTGTGCTTTATTTCAAGTATTTTTTTTGTGTTTTACTTTTAGTTTTAGTTTCAGTCTTAGTTCAATACAATTGCAGTCAAAAATACATTTTGATATGTATATATCAGCATTTGTGTTGTGGGAGATCTGCAGTGTACAAATGCAGATCAAAGACCTTGAAGCACTGAATTTTCGAATTTAATCTATGGCCAGCAATCACTTTTAGATCAAAGTATCCCAATAGTCCTGGAGATATTCAAATCAGCAGCGCTCCCGAAATAACGTGTCTGTATTTTCCCTATTAATAATATTATACATTAGTATTCTGTGCACATGCACTGCATGCAAAAGGGGCACACAGCTGTTCAAAGGCCTCGGTTATGACGTTACGCTGGGATCGGAGAAGAGAAAACGGGTGTAAAATTGTGACCCAGGGATTAATACAAAGCAGTATGGGCAATGTGTGTGCATGGGTTTGGACATGTGTGCGCGTGTTTGCTCTTACCTGTGGGAAAGAATGCAGCGGTGGGCTGCTGAAGCTGTGCGCTGGCCAAAGCCTGTTGGTAGTGCAAGACACTGGGGTTGAAGAGCGTACTGGCCCCATTATTCTTTTCTAGTGCTGGTCTCTTTGGTAGGGGCTGCAGGATTCCATGGGGAAATGCCTGAGTGTGAAAAAGTACATGCACGAGTTAAATGAGGTTCTCACGCATGCACGACTTACAATATCAATGCACAGGTTGACTCGAAGCTGCATCGCTCCATTTTACACAAGGACGACGACAACCGTCACTAAATACTTAAGCAAGACACTTACGTTTACTAGGCTTCAATCAAGCTATTTTACTTTGAAAGATGACACACATTCATTCTTCAAAATTGACTGATGGTTATTTCTACATGTACTTGGTGACTTTAACTGTTTCTATCAAAACAAAGCCAAATTAAAAAATTCTGTGAGTCGCTACAGTACATTAAAAAGCTACATGCAAAGCAAAAGGTGAAAGGTCATAGTACCAGATCTACAGATGCCTCGAGGGGTCGCTTCATTGCTTTGGCAGTCGACTGAGTCTTTTAATAGCAGGCAGCGAGCACATGATGGCAGTGGGCCAATGGGATTCAAGCGTATTAACATACAGGTAACAGCAAGCAGAGGTGCATCATGGGGACAGCATTGCATTGTGGAATAGGTGAGAAGGAAAAAAAACAAAAACAAAAATAATCTGAATGCAGTATACCACATACAAAACAATAGGCATGCTCATAAACGAAAAAACTTGTTTCAAAGAAACATTTCGCTACGTTCTGAATTAGTACGAAAGCAAAAAGCATCTACAATACCTGTGTTAAAGCGTCAGAAATCAAGATTCTCACCATTTACCAATCAAAAGTCAGTCACGCTAATGGGATTGTAGATATTAGTGTTATGAAAGCTCTCGAAAACGACTCAAACACTGCATAAAACACTGACCGGTGCCCAATATCCGATATCAAAGGGTTTCTAGTGTGAGTGGCGAACTGAATCTAATGATGGCAGAATGTCAGGTAGGCATTTCTTTGTTGTCAACCTCGCCTGGCTACTTTAACAGCTTCGTTCGGTCGATACTGACGCTACATTAAGTTTGCCTGACAGCACGACGTCTATCGAACACTAATTAACACTGGAACTGGGTACAAACTGCACGGGCCAAGTGGGCTAATTTCACCAGCCCGTGCATTGCGTTTCTGTCAATGCAAATCACAATCTTTTGCGCTCATTGAGTGATTTTAACATGCAGAGTGAAACTGCTATGACATTTACCACCACTTAGCAAAAAGAAAATAAAAGGACACTGGAACGCCTTCACTGACATTCATTTCTGTCACAATATGTTGTAATTTCTTACCAACTAGCAGATTAAAATGACTCTCAACATGTAAATCGTAAAGGTCACGGAACTAAAAGAAAACAACTGATGTGAGTGATCACAGAATGTGGAGCTCTGTTTATTCTTATATTTGAGAACGTCCAATTTATGCTCTTTTCACGTTGCTGGTTTTGGACCTTTTAAAAAGCATTGAGTTATTTTTATTGTGGCCCATATGCTAATTTAATTTCTTTTTGTATTTAAATATTAATATGCAACTAACATTGCACACTGCAATATTCCTCACTAATAATATGCCATGCAAACTGGTAATAAGTAAAGATTGCAATGGAATGAAGGGCAGCAAAAAAGGACGCTCGAAATGAGATGATGCAGAGGGCCATGCAGAAATGCTTTAAATCAGAATAGCCACACACAAGAAAGAAAAAAACCTAGATTGTCGAATTAAAAAGAAAAAAGTTCATGGTTTTCTTTATAATAAAGTCACAGATTACAGCAAAAGGGTTGTACGAGGGAAAGATAATGCATCATTTAAAGAAAGCGGAACACTTCATTGACAGGACAAACATTTACTTCTGGACTCTCTTGAAGCTCTGTTCCAAAACCTAGTGAGCTGCATTGCTGTCTACATAGGCTGCTACTTTCTAAAGCATAAGTGACTGATTTGGAACACTCTACATAGGCAGCAACTTAGTGCACTTCACAAAGTGCACTGGAGTCACAACTATTAACTCCAATATAGTCTGACTTTTCATGTAAATATGTACAGCAGCACACAAATAACGGGTAAAGCTGTCAATTTTTTATGATTTTATTTTAGTGATACTTTCTGCATTAAAATTGTATTCCACTTACTGTCATCTTAATTTTTTTCACTGAGTTTGTCGCATACATTCTGGGATTCAATTCTCCCTGAAGGATACTTGCTGCATGAATTTTATGCAAAACAAGGTATCTTGGAAAGCAGCATAATAATGCACAAATCGTTTGGAATAGCCTTGGCGTCATTTTTATGACAGACAGAGTCTAGTGCTGTCTAAGAAGAAAGATCAGTAGGTTTAGGAACAGAGCTTGTAAGCATACTTTTAATAAACATCAGAATAAGATGCACTTCAATTCTTGTAACCAAGAGTTGAATATTTTGCTCCCCTCCGCCAACATAGAGAACCATTAAAATAAATATGCCACCCACAGGGATTTATCATACAGAATTACATAACCTTCCACTGAAGGATAAAACAAAAAAAAACAAACAAACAAAGAGAAACTAAAAGACAAGAAAATGAAGAAGCCATAACTATATATCATCTGACTTTTAAACCCTTTCTCTGGGGTCGAGGGCAGGGATCGATTGCTTCAGCATCCCTATAGTAAGTGGCCCGGTTTGAACCCTAGAAAAAAAATCTGCTTTGTTATGTGCATTACATCATAATCAGGGAAAGGACTGATGGTTTATCTCAGGTCGCTGTATGCGCGGGAAACCTGGGACTTTATTTGCACTCTTGTTTTATTGTTATGGCTGGTGAGCTGATAATGTCCTCGCGTCACCCTCTGACCCAGACGCCACAGTAGAAAAAGACAAAAGGTTCAGGGCAAAATCAAAAATGGAGTAAACAGCAAAACGAATGAGGCCAAGCATGTGAGTGCCATGACAGCAAACGCAGCAAACTAAAACCACACCAGCGTGAGATGTGGGAGCGGGAAAGCTTGCTGCCAAATACCGTGTCTACTGTGTCAACGCAAGCAAGTGATGCGACCAAACAATATCCGTACCATTATAATCAATGATATGAGCACCGCAGTGCAAGAAAAAGAGATTTTATGTTCCTATTTTAAACAGCAACTTCACCATGTCGCATGTGTTGTGTCGAATTGTAAGCTTGCAGGACCAAACTAGGTTCTTACCATTATAAATCAATGAAACGATTTGCAAGGAAATTATATTGTTCCCATTATAAATGGCAAACTCACACATGTTGCATTTGTTGTGTCGCATTGTGAAATTGCAAAGCAGACAATTTAATTGATAATAACAGGAGCCATGAAGTTTTCCTGCATTGCACTGATTGCAATGTAAAAAGTATTCTCTTTCATTATAATCAACAAAGCTGTCTACACTGCTTGGACACAATGTTGAGCTGTCACATCGCAGTGTGTTGCTTGCAGTGCAGACAGCTAAATCTAAATGGCTCATTATAATCAATGCTAGAACTGTGTACACCACAATCTAGGGATGCAATGCGATCAAGCTAGATCACGTCGCATATTGTCACCAGCTTGCAGCTTTATTAATTTTAATAGGAGAAATATAGTTTTCTTGCAAGCACACTGCTTGTGTGCAATGTAGAAAAAACGATATTGTTCTCATTATAATTAAAAAAGCTGCACTACAACGCAATCATGCAATAAAGCAATGCGCTGCAACGAAATTGGTTTACTTTTATTTAGGGATGCACGATATTGGATTTTTGCCGATATCCAATATTTTTCAACTCATTTTGGCCAATACCAATACCGATATATTTCCTTTTGTTTGGAAACAACACCAAGTCTCTCCTGTGCAGAAATTATGAGCAAAATATTTTTAATTTTGGTTGGTTTTTAACAAACGTATTTGTTAGAATTAAATAAACAATAACGAAGGTTTTATGACAGTACATTGAAGCTTTGAAAATAACTATAAATAAACTATATATCAATCGCTGCATTTTCCCCCCAGAAAGATGCAGTGTTAACCCTAACATTTTATTTTAAGATTTAACATTTGTAGATGGTCTAAAGCAAAAGAGTTGTAAAAATTCTGAAAATCTTTTAGAGCTTATGATTTGTTTAAAAAATAAAACCTATACATTAATGAATAAATCAGTATATATAAAATTATTTTATTTACAAGTCAAGTCAAGTCACCTTTATTTATATAGCGCTTTTAACAATACAGATTGTGTCAAAGCAACTGAACAGCATTAATTAGGAAACTAGTGTGTCAATAATGCAAAGTGACAATAGTAAACACTAATTTTTCAGTTAAAGACAGTTCATCATTGAATTCAGTGATGTCAACATCCAGCTCAGTTTAAATAATATCTTTGCAATCATGTCAACGATATCGCCGGAACTGAAGTGTCCCCAACTAAGCAAGCCAAGCGGCAAGAAACCAAAACTCCATCGGTGACAGAATGGAGAAAAAACCTTCGGAGAAACCAGGCTCAGTCGGGGGGCCAGTTCTCCTCTGACCAGACGAAACCAGCAGTACAGAAAAATCAATTTAAGACGTAATAAGTGTCGTCAAGTGTCGTAATAAGTGTAACAAGTGTCATGTTTGTGATTTTTTTCATGTAAGCTATAGCTTCTGACCTTTAAATCAAAACATACTCACTTTTTATGACATCATTTACTGCTTTATTTAATCAGAAACTAGGGCTGGACGATATGGCCAAAATTGATATCACAATATATTTCTTAATTTCGGTCGATATGATATAATTGCGATATCGATATGAACATTAAGACGTAATAAGTGTCGTCAAGTGTCGTAATAAGTGTAACAAGTGTCATGTTTGTGATTTTTTTCATGTAAGCTATAGCTTCTGACCTTTAAATCAAAACATACTCACTTTTTATGACATCATTTACTGCTTTATTTAATCAGAAACTAGGGCTGGACGATATGGCCAAAATTGATATCACATTTTTTTTTTATAAATTTTTATAATTTTTTATTTATACATGTGTATTTTATTCACTTATTTTTTTATTATCTGTGTGTGTTGTCTGTCTGGAAACTTGGACACTATAACAAATTCCTAGTATGTGCAAAAATACTTGGTGATAAAGCTCTTTCTGACTTCTGATATGCGTGTGTGTAATAGCTATACAGTAGGCCTGTATAGTCATATAGCCATTCATATACATGAAAATGCATTTTTCAATTAAAGAACTTATAGAATTAATATGGTCTGCTTTGGGTGCTTGACACTTCATTGGTCATTTTGTGTTTTAAGAATGATATTCAAGGTTAAGAATACGCTGTTAAATAATAATATTATTTAAATATAAATTGTTTTATCTAGGTTTAACAACATTACCTACATTGTAGAAAGACGACTTTCCTTATTGATCACGTCTTCCCTCAGGTAAAATGCACGTTTTCTTGCGTGGCTGAATATGAATCACGTTGTTTGCATTTGCCCAAACTGATTTGCTGAAGTCGAAACGCGGACGTTAAAAAAACCCAACTCTGTTAGCGCGAGTCCCGCTCGCTGTGAAGCGGGAGCGACCGGCCGGCAGAGGATTCTGCTTGGTCTTAAAGCCTCCCTCGAACGTCTACGTTCACAAATCAAACACTTGTCAAAAAAGAATGATTCATTCTCAGTTTAGAGTTTGATATTAGTATGGTCTAGGTGGTCATATGGCATATGCCTTAAATACGGGACGATTCCATATTATACGGAACGGTTGGCAACCCTACTTCAGAGATACATTCATATAAAACACCCACGCCGTGTTATGATTTTGAAACGTGCAGTGCTCATGTATATTCAACGAAGTCAAACGGCACAAATAAATCAATGTATGGGAAACTGGTAATGTATATCGAAATATCGGAAATGTGTTTAAAAATCACCGTTATTAAAAAAAATTATATCGCGATACATCTTGATATTGAATTATTGTCCAGCCCTAAGAAACACAGTCTAAATGTTATTTGTGTAAACTATTTTACTTTTAATTTAATTAAAAGAAGGCCAACAGTGCCCACTACAGATTAAAACTCCTTACTGAACAGGCATTAGGACTCGGGGGAGGCTGCCGCTGCACGTGCTGTTAGTGTTTACTCCATCTTACACAGAACGCTTAATTCTGTACGTGCTTTCTCAGTTTAAATGCAGCGATCTAAAACAGTGAATCTAATCATCATTTAGGCAAAACTTTGCTTCAAGAATGAGCCACAATGCTGACTTGATCTAATCACTAGCACACCCTCAGCACATCGGCAAGATATATTGGCATGTTTCATATCGGCCCGATGCCGATATTTACATTTAAAGCCATTATCGGACGATTCCGATATCAATCCGATAATATCGTGCATCCCTACTTTTATTATAATCAGCAAAGCTATCTCTACCACTAGCTTGCATGTTTTTCTTGCATCTCATCACTCGCTTCTGTTTATTATAATGGACGTAATCTAGTGTTGTTGCACCACATTCCTTGTATGCAGTGTAAGCAAAACAAGTACAGTCACATTATATAAAACAAAGCTATCTATGAGCATGCAATATCAAGTTTTATTGCGTCACACCACTTGCAATGTGGACAGTTTTGTTGATTATAACTGGAGCAACCTAGTTTTTTTGTGATGCATTGCTGGGTTACAGTGTAGACCTTGCTCTTACACTGTTGATTGCAATAGCAGCAACTTGTGGCTTACAAAGTTATATTGCAAATGTGCAATACTGGTTTTGATGCATCACTCACTTGCTGTACACATGGTTTCATTGGAGCATTGTTGTTTTGTTGCATCACTCACTTGTAGTGTAGACAAAACTACATTGCTCCCATAATCACCAAAACCATCAATACTGCAACAAATGCAACAAAATTTAAACTGCATGCACGCAGAGATTGTGATGCAAAAAAACTTGATGGCACCTGTTATAATCAAAGCCATATACTCTGTGAGTGACAAGACGCAACAAAACTCATTTGCTCCATTTTTTTTTACATTTACATTGTCCGCATGCAGTATAGAAAAAACATAGATTGCTCCCATCATAAATCAACAGAACTGTGTAGGCTGCAAGCAAGTGATGCAACACAACTGCATGCATGCAGAGATTGTGATGCAGCAATATACAATATACATTGTGAGTGCAAAATGCAACAAAATTCTTTCTCCGTTTGTGCATAATGGTGCATCAATCTCTTTGCGTCGTTTGCTTGCAGTGTAGACAAAAAGCTACATTGCAATGGCACAATACTTAATAGTACCTGTTATAATCGAAGCCAAATAATTTGCAAGACGCAACAAAACTTGACATCCCTTGCTTATAGCATAGCACAAAACTCAGTTTTGTTGTTCTGTTGCATTGCATCGTTTGCTTGCAATGTAGACACGAGTTAGAACTAGGGATGCACCAGTTGACCGGCCATAAATCGGAACCAGACGGTTTTTGCGTATAATGCGCAATCGGCCGTTTTTTTGTATTGTTTGCGTCCGATTTTTCCGGAAGTGCGCACAGAGGCGCGAGCAGAAAAAAATACCACGCAGAGCAAGCTCACTGTTGGCGATGCACGATGAGATATTGGAAGAAAAATCTGAAGTGATTAAGGATACGGGCAGCGTACAGCACTGGGGAAATGCAGAGCTACCTGCGAAAGCACCTGCCGTAGTTAACATTTTAGGATAATTTATTTATATAGCCTACTTTGGTTTTATTTAGATTCACTGGTAAAGATCTTTTTTTCTTTACACCAAATTTAAAAACGAAAACAAATGCTGAATGCTGATTAAGTAACATCTTTGTTTGGAGTGTTGAATGTGTTTTGATTGTGTTGTTTGGATTGTGGAACTATGCAGTTGTTGCCTAAAATTACATGGTTACAGTTAATGTTTTCATTTAAGGCCAGTTTATAGTTTCAACCCAATTTAAAAACAAAAGCTAAATGCTTTTGTCAGTAGGCCTACCTATGTTTGTATTGAATGTAGCCTACTTACTGCGCAGTTACTGCTGTTAATTTCAGATGGTTACAGTTGTTGTTTTCAATAGCCAAAACCGAGTTTAACCTGTTAAATACCAAATAAACATCTTGTTTATGTGTACTTGCATTCTTTCTTGTTTGTTGCTTGATAAAAAAAAAAAAAAAAAAAAAAAAAAGGAAATAGGTATCGGAATCGCCCAGTTTCCTTTTAAAAAATCGGTATCGGAATCGGCCATGAAAAATCATGATCGTGCATCACTAGTTAGATCTGACAAACGAGAGCAGCCTGGCATGCAGCCCAATATACAGTTTCGCTTATATAATAGATGAACCTGTGCATTCATGTCAGTTTGGGATGAAGATGTCGTCCATCTCCTTAATTTTATCTTGACTGATCTGAGGAGAGTAGGCCTCCCATTGGGCAGAGAAATGGGGAAAAAAGCCGCCCCATGAACTTGTACAGTCGAGGGTGTGAGCAAAAAAGCTTTTAAGCCATCGTGCTTACTATATTAAAATCCAATTCCTAATAATGATCGCATCAGTACAAAACTAGATGGATAAGAGGGGGGAGTGATTTTTATCACACGGCTGTATTGTCAAGCAGCTCGTCTCTTTGTCTCTATCTCTTTCCTCACCCTGTTTAATAGGACTAAAATCCCCCGGGGACGAGATAAGGGAGTCGAAACAGATTTGGCACACAACCCCGCCCAGATTCTAGAGATGGGTCATGGCTATATAATAATAAAGCAGTGCTCCACATTTAATGTGCTTAACATCATCAGATATCTCAATTGCAACCTCCGCGGGCGCGTCTCAACATGTGTTGTCAATTGATTTTATCTTGCACATAACTGAAAACGATTTCACAATTCTAAGCACTGCCTTAGTTACGATTCAATGTGTCGTGACAATGTGGTAAATTAAATTCTGCTGTAAATTAAATGCAGCTGGTGAGGCACGGTGGTATAATTTAAGAACTTTAACACTCTTTAATGTTTTGCACAACATGACTCTTTAAACGTAGAATTGTATGCATGTATTTTCAAAATCAATTGTCCATTAGCAGCTCACCATGGCTGCAGCGGCGGCCTGCGCTGCGACGGCAGTCTGGTTGGCCTGATGCTGGGCTGCTTTGATCTTGGCCTGCAGGTGCGCCGGAGGGTGGAAATACTTGCACTTCTCGCGCGAGCAGCGGCTCTTGATGTAGTCCATGCACACGGTGACCGTGTTGTCGCTCGTGTCAATCATGGGGCTGTCGCTAGGATGGGCGAAGCGGCAGTCGGTCTCGCCGCGTGCACAGTTGCCCCTCTGAAACTCACGACACACCTGGTCGCGGGTGCAAACGAACACGCAGACAAAACAAACAGGGAACACAACAGAAATGTGCAAACAGAGACATGAGTAATATAAGTTTCAAAGCTTTTATGTATGAGCACAGGTACGCAAGTAAACACACACGGAGCTGAATATTAACAAAGGCAGCGACAGCCTCTCAGTGTGGGAGGGCCATCAGTCAGTTGCTAAGTGATCGCACATTTAGTGACACACACACACACACACACACACACACACACAAACAAAGAACCACGTTATTGTGGTTCAACTGTTCAACTGTTATTGTTTCAACCACGCTGATAATTTTCTTGCGAGGTAGCGCTATATAGCGCTACACACTTCTTTCTATCCTCCTTCTCACATTTTTCAGTAATTAATTCAGCTCCATCTTTAACATACAGATTAAAGTCTTTGGTTTTCATAAACTTTAAATATACTTCAATAAAGTTTGAAAATTTCTGTGACCTTGACATTGTTCAAGTGTTCTACATTGAGAATCTAACCGACTGATGATGCCATTATTTACATACTGATTATTTATTTATTTATTATTTGCATATAATTGCTCACCAAATTATGATTGTTCTTTTCTTTCATCCTTTCTTTATATATATGATTGGCCTTTTCTTGTTTATATTTTATTTGCATATTGAATTACGATTGGTCTTTTCTTTCTTTCGCTATTTCTTTGCCATATACGGTTAGATGCCGCAACTACAACATTGCATCATTTTTAAATGAATATTTATTTTAACAAAATAAAAATTTTTGCAACCAATATACTAAAGGCAAATACTTTATTATCTTACAGTAAATAGTTTGAGTTAAAAGCATGAACTATACAGATTTAGTTTAAGCTTTTAATCAAGTTTTCTGATACCTTTAACCTAGATTTCAATTATGGCAATGAGATTTAAACTGCGCTTTGCACATCTGTGGTTCAGAAATGATGTTGTTTGTCTCAAGGTGAATGAAAAGATGGCCTCATAATGTTTCTGTGTGACGCATTACCTCAAGCTTGTCTGTGCGCAGTAGTTTCTGTGTGGAGGACGAGCACTGCACACTGACCGGCGGGCTGCCGGGGACGATTACAGGGGTGCTGGGAAGCATCTCTGTGTGGACCAAACCCATGCCATGGCTCATGGGAGTCAGATACGGTGCGTAACTTAGTCCAGGGTTTGAGTCCAGACCTTGGCTGACAGGAAATGTAGGCTGTGAAGAAGACAATATATGGAACTATTCCAATAAAAGGAATAGTTCACCTAAAAATTAAAATTTGCTGCAAATGTACTCACTTCCAGGCCATCCAAGATGTAGCTGAATTTGTTCCTTCATCAGATTTGAAGAAAGCATTATTTTGGATTATGGACTCGTAATTTAGCCGGAAGGAACAGTTTGAAGTTAAAAACTTAAGCCTCAATGGTGGATTTGTTTCTTTGTTTCATTTCTCCAAATCTGTTCTGATGAAGAAACAAACTCATCTGCATCTTGGATGACCTGAGAGTACATTTTCAGCACATTTTTATTTTTTTGGTGAACTATTTAATTAATGTAAATATGCAGCTAGACGTGAAGATGAGTAGATGGTTCTTACCATTGGTTGCATGGTGGTGCCAGGGATCATGAACTGCATCTGCTGCGCCAGCATCGCTGCTGCAGTCTTCTGCTGGATGAGGTTGTTGCGTCCGTTGATTTCCAGCTGCGTCTTCAGATGCGCTGGTGGGTGAAGGTACTTACAGTTCTCTCTCGTACACCGACCCTATGGCAAGAAAGATCACAAATGACAACTATTAAGTATCTCAGTTGTTTCTCTTGGACAGAAATTAAATATTTTGCTTAAGTCTCCTGCAAAAAAGACCCCAGTAAATCTCTCATTTATCTCAGAAGAGATCTCAAAAGTGTCACAACTTCAGCAAAAGTCAAAGAGCTCAATAAGAAATCAAACATTTCTCCTAAGACTTAATGATCTGAACTACTATTCACATTAATTTCCTAGCTTTTTACTCTTACTATTTCACAACTATTGACTTATATACATTATACTTCATTATATACAGTAAACAAATTGATTACCTGCAAAAAAAACAACAGAAATGACACTACAACATACATGAAAAACAAACCGCATCAATGCAGTAATCATGTATGCTTCATACTGCAATATTTATTAAGAAGGCCAAAGTTAGAAGAACATTCTGCACAAGGTCAAATGTGTGTTTGCATTAAACATCCACTGCAGGATATCCAGTGACACGGGAGGCCAAACTGATACGAGATGTGAGAATTAGTGGAGGAGGGGTTAAAAACGCAGTGGTAGCACATACTGCGGACACGCAGAGACACAGAAAGAGAATCTCACTGCCTCTGCAGATGCTGCGTCGCCCTGCATGCACTCTACAGCATTAGCTGCTCGCTGGAGGTGTGAGATCTCCACGGTAACCTTGAGCACAAATATCTCATGCTACTTACAAAACAAGATAACTGAAGGAAACTGAAGAAAACAAACCATAGATGTCATTAATTAAAATAATAATTCATTAACACATTCATGAAACTTGTCATTTTCAGATTATAAATATTTTTATATTTTTAGAATATACATAATTTGTTTATTTGTGTTTAATGTCTAAGTCAAATTAAGGAAACAAATTAAAACGTTTTTAAAATTATGAATGTTTTTAGAATTACATATAACTTAATTACACATTTTCATTTCTAAATATTTCAACATTTTTTCTTGTAATAAAATAGAATTAATATATCTGCTAAATAAAAAAATTAAATATATATTTTTAAATTATATATATATATATATATATATATATATATATATATATATATATATATATATATATATATATGTATTT